GCCATATCTGTATCTGTGTATCCCTCCAACACAGGGTTCTCATTACCAAAACATAAACTGAAACTAGAAGTACCTTTGAGATACCTGAGTATCCATTTCACTGCTGACCAGTGTTCTTTACCAGGATTGGAGAGGAACCGACTAACCACACCAACTGCATGAGCTATATCCGGCCTTGTGCAAACCATGGCATACATCAAGCTACCAACTGCGGATGCATAAGGAACCTTTTTCATCTCATCTTTTTCTTCATCACTTGAAGGACACTGCTTAGAACTTAGTTTAAAGTGGCTTGCAAGTGGAGAACAAACAGGTTTGGAGTTGCTCATGTTGAATCTCTCAAGTACCTTTTGAACATATCTCTCCTGAGATAGCCAAAGTTTTCCCTTCTTTCTGTCACGTGTGATCTTCATACCAAGAATCTGTTTTGCTGGTCCCAAGTCTTTCATTGCAAAAGACTTGCTCAACTCTTCCTTCAACATCTGAATCTTCTTAGCATCATGGCCAACAATCAACATATCATCCACATACAACAAGAGAATAATAAAGTTTCCATCTGGAAACCTTTTCATAAATACACAATGATCAGAAGTGGTCCTGTCATAACCATGATCCACCATAAAAGAATCAAACTTCTTATACCATTGTCTTGGAGCTTGCTTTAACCCATATAAGCTCTTTTTCAACTTACAAACTAGCTGCTCTTTACCTTTTGCTTCAAAACCTTCAGGCTGCTCCATGTAGATCTCCTCATCCAAATCACCATGGAGAAAGGCAGTTTTCACATCAAGTTGTTCTACTTCAAGATTCAAACTAGCAGCTAAGCCAAGCACAACTCGGATTGAAGACATCTTGACCACTGGTGAAAAGATTTCTTCAAAATCAATACCCTTCTTCTGACCAAAACCTTTCACAACCAATCTTGCCTGGTACCTTGGTTTTGAGCAATGTTCATCAATTTTCAACCTGAACACCCATTTGTTCTTGAGTGCTCTCTTACCTTTAGGAAGCTTCACTAACTCAAAGGTATGGTTTTCATGCAAGGATTTCATCTCTTCTTGCATTGCTTTCAACCACTCACTTTTCTTCTCATGTGACATAGCTTCATCAAAGCATTCTGGCTCTCCCCCATCAGTCACCAACACATACTCATGAGGAGAATATTTAGTGGAAGGTTGGCGATGTCTAGTTGAGCTTCTCAATTGTCTCAATTGTGGCTCATCTGAAGCTTCCTGCATAACCTGTTCAGGAATAACATCAACATCATCATTAGTTGCTTCAGGATCACCAACTAATGGCTCAATAAGAGAACCACCACCATCATCATTTTGCAAGTCTCCCCCATGATTAGCAGGCATTAAAGGTAACTGTGGAGTAGGTCTTGGATTTGAATTAGTTGGAATAAAAACAGTGAACTCTGTTTTCTCCTTTTGTTCAAAGTCTTCAATGGTTTGATCTTCAAAGAAGATAACATCTCTACTTCTCACAATTTTCTTCTCCTTTGGATCCCATAACCGATAGCCAAACTCATCATCTTCAGAGCCCAAGAAAATGCACTGCTTTGTCTTGCTGTCAAGCTTAGACCTTTCATCTCTAGGAACATGTACAAATGCCCTGCATCCAAACACTCTTAAGTGTGCATAAGAGACATCTTTTCCTTTCCAAACTCTATCTGGAACATCAAATTCAAGAGGAACTGATGGAGAAAGGTTGATCATTGCAACTGCAGTCTTCATTGCCTCACCCCAAAAAGACTTAGGCAGCTTTGCATGAGAGAGCATACATCTAATTCTTTCAACAATGGTTCTGTTCATTCTCTCAGCCACTCCATTCTGCTGTGGAGTCTTAGAAACTATCTTCTCCAACTTGATATCATATTACATTCTCTCAGCCACTCCATTCTGCTGTGGAGTCTTAGGAACTGTCTTCTCCAACTTGATACCATGTTCCCTACAGTATTTCTCAAAAGGACCCCTGTATTCACCACCATTGTCAGCTCGAACACATTTGAGCTTTCTACCAGTTTCTCTTTCAACTCTGGCATGGAAATCCTTAAAGACATCAAGCACCTGATCTTTAGATTTCAGATAAGTGACCCGAATTTTCCTGGAGTGATCATCAATAAAATTAACAAAGTAAAATGCACCCTTAAGAGACTTGTCAATCATAGAGCAAACATCAGTATGAACTAAATCAAGAACATGTGATCTTCTATGTGAAGGTGATCTTTGAAACGCAACTCTGTGTTGTTTGCCAACTAAACAATGAGTACATATGTTCAAGTTCACACATTTTAATAAAAGGTAGTTCTTCTTGGCAAGGATGCCAAGGCCTTTCTCACTCAAATGTCCAAGCCGCTTATGCCATAGATTAAGAGAACAATCTTCAATTGCATTCACCTCCTCTTTGATCATCTTGGCTTGTGACATATAGAGACCCATCTTCTTCCCTTTAGCAACAATTAGGGAATTTCTGGAGAGCTTCCATTTACCATCTCCAAAGTAATTGTGATAGCCTTCTTCATCAAGAGTACTTGTAGAGATCAAGTATAAGCGCATATCAGGGACATGCCTAATATCTTTGAGTAGCAACTTGTACCCAGTATTGGTTTCCAACCAAATGTCTCTAATGCCCATAACACTAGCCATCCCTTGATTTCCTATTCTAACTTGACCAAAGTCTCCAGCAGTGTAAGATGTGTAAAAATCACGTTGGGGTGTAACTTGGTAAGAAGTTGCTGAATTTGCAACCTAGGTGGTATCCTGACATGCAAGATTAACACAACCATCATCACAAACAATGACAACATTACCATCAAATACAACTACAGCTGTACCATTCTCTTCATTCTTGTCTTCATCTTTACCCTTTTTATCTCTTTTATACTTTCTGCAATCCTTTTGCATATGCCCAGGCTTGTCACAATAATAGCACTTAAAACCCTTCCTTGACTGAGATCTTCCTCTTGGCTTCCATTTGCCTTTTCTATTGCTGGATTCTCTATCTTGCTTGCTGTGAGAGAACCTGCTTGGACTTCTCCCTCGACTTTCTGTAACAAGTGCATGAGACTCAGAAGTGCTTGTGCCTTTCCTCCTCTTCTCTTCATTGAGGATACAATCCTTCACTGTTTTCAAAGTGATCTTCCCATTCGGAGTAGAATTGCTAAGTGACACCACCAAAGTCTCCCAACTATCCGGCAATGAACTCAGTAGGATTAGTGCTTGCATTTCATCAGCTAACTCCAGATTCATCAATGACAACTGATTCAAGAACCCTTGGAATACATTTATATGCACTGAAGCATCTTCACCATCTCTATACTTCAAATTCACAAGGTCTC